AAATTTCGTAAATATTGATTCAAACAAAATTTTTTGATTATGTAAAATTTGGAAATTTTAAAAATTTTACGTAACGTAACGTAAATATTGATTTTGTTAGCATTAAAAATATTTAAAATTTTGACCTACGTAGGTAACGTGGAATGGCTGAATTTTGTTAATTTTGAAAATTTTTTAAACTTAAAAAAATTGGAAATTTTAAAAACTTTGTAAATTTCGTGAATTTTGAAAATATTTAAAATTTTGAATATGTATTTTGTAAATTTAAAATTTTTTTTTATTGTTTTGTACTTGTCAAACCTTTTTATTTGACAAACTGTTTGACATATTACAAACAAGGTATTTTGTCGAAGGAATAGAGATTTGATATATTTTTCGATTCATATAAGCTCGGGGAGTCCTTTGTTTTGAGTGTGTTCCACTACACCAAGTTGCCCGACACTGATGAGACCCAATATAGGTCGAAACAGCTGTCTGTCGGTATTTGGTGGATCCCACTCAAAACAAAAAACTTTGGCGAGGTGTAGGTTCAATTTTTTCTTATGAATATTACCAGTAATGGGTCAAGAACGTTTTTTAAAGAAACTAAGAAAATTAAATGCTTACAACTAATAAATATAATATAACATAATATAATAATAATATATATATAATTATAATAACTACTATAGGATGTAAAAACCTTTACCTGATTGGTATAAATTATATTTACAGCCTAGGAGATAATATATTATTATTATAAAATATTTTACCACATTTTTTTAAATAATTTATATAAATAACCATTTGGCCGAAGATCGCTCAATTTATCAACGGAACTACCTAGAGTAGATATACTAATAGCCGGGGTACTAATTAATAGGTTGGGTTTGGTTTGGAGTGTTTCAGGCGGCCGAAAATAAATATGTCAAAACACCGTCATTATGGGACGTGTTCGAATGTCGACGCGTCGGTACAGGCAGGAACTAAAAGGAACAATGTTGTTTTACGGTGACAAGGCAAACGTCAGTTTCTTAAATGTGGCGCCTCCGAAGACGGGAAAAGTCGACATGAATGGTTTAACCACCCATCGAACACCATGTTTTATGTTTTAAAATTAAATACCTATTTGATAACTAAATGGAGTGAAAGACCTGGCCATGTTCATTCATTCATTAAAAATAATTTATTTATTTGCCTTTTAAAACTTTTATGGACGAAAATAACTGGACAAAAGTTTAAAACTGAGTCTCATAACATAAATTAATTAAGAAAAACATTTTTTAAATTAATTTCTTTGAGTTTTGAGATTTTACAGTCAATTAATTAAAACCAAACCTGATAGCATGAGCAATCGTTCAAGTTTTTAAATAATGTTATATTAATTATTTATATCGTACTCCAACATTAGCTTATCTAAATCGTTTCCTTTTTCAATTTAAAAAAATATAAACACGTTAAATAAAAAATGTTTTTTTCCAATGGTGTTGAGAAATTAATAGTAGATTAAAAAACAAAAATTTTGGCTCAATTCATTTGTGGTTTTTCCATTTCAATAACACGGGAATTTTTATTTTTATTTTGAATTCTTATAACTTTGGAATGGTTTGTTTTCGCAACACCCAAGCGAGAGGTTTTATAGAAAATTTCACGCCCTACAAAAAAACATCTAAAGAAGTTCTTCAGATCAACCGTTTCAAAGATATCAGCGATCAAAAATAACAGTAATAAAAAAATTTCAAATATTTTCCAATAAAACTACCAAAATATATCATATGCCATCTTTATATTATTTTTTATGTAAAATCACTTTTCTCTAATTAATTCTTAAATAAATGATTTTTGGGTCTCTTTTATAACAATTTTATTTTATTTTCAAGTAAATACCAAGACATTTTATTAAAAAATTAATTCTATATAACAAAAAACAATATTTAACAACTAGTTCTGAAATTTTTTTAACTTGAAAATATTACAGTCGTAATACTTGAAAATATTTCAGTTATTAGACATGGGACCCACACTAAATTTATACTAGTTTATAATGACATTAAATAGACAAATTCGGCGTAAACAGAATTTAAATTGAAAAAAATTTAGTTTTTCCTGTCGCCTCACCCGACTCCAGGCCCCCCTATTTAAGAAAATTTAAATTAAAATGGTGCAATTAATTATCTACTATAATCGACAAATTTAAAATTTTATTTAAAAAATCCAAGTCCAAAAGGCGACAGGAAAAACTAACTTTTTTTTGCATACTTCAATTTAAATTCTGTTTGCGCCAAACTTGTTTATTTAATGTCATTATAAACTATTATAAATTTGGTGTGGGTCCCATGTAATAACTGAGATATTGGTATACAAAAAATCCGGTTCCCGGTCACTTTCCCGAATGCAATTTCCCGACTGACCAATTTCCCGATAGACCATTTTCCCGACAAACCATTTTCCCGACGACGTTTTTCCCGACAGCACTCTTCCCGACAGACTATGTTCACGACAAAAATCTTATTATCCAGTTAAGAAACGTTTTTCCCGATAGCCCTTTTCCCGAAAGATTATGTTCACGACAAAAGTTTTATTATCTAGTAAAGAAAAACATACCTGGTCAAAAATGATTTCGGTATCCGCTTGTTCCTTCTGGAATTCTGTAAGGGCCAATGGGGCGGGGTCGGTTGGGTTGGGTTGTTGGGTTTGGGTTGGTTTTGAAGCGGGCGGACTCGGGACGTTGGTTAAGGAAAAAAGATCTGCTTCTCGTCCTAAGATTGCGTCATTGGATGACGTCACTCTGTTAAAATATATTGTGTCGTTTGTGGTAAAAATTATTTGTCTTAAAAATGACTTGTCGGGAAAATGGCTTGTCAGGAAAATGGGTTGTCGGGAAAACAACTTTCGGGAAAACGACTTTCGGGAAAATGGTGTCGGGAAAAATCTTGTCGGGAAAATGGTGTGTCGGGAAAATGGTCTGTCGGGAAATTGGTCTGTCGGGAAAATGACTTTCGGAAAAGTGACCGGTAATCAAAAAATCCACCAGCCGCCACTGAGTCGTATAAAATTATTTTATTGCAATTATTATATCGTTTTCTATGTTTTGTCACTACTTGCAACAAATATTGAAGCTGTTCTTCATCTTTCGTTAGGCATCGATTATACTTCTCTATCAATGACAAGCCGCGTTCTGAGGGCGGTCGCTTGGCATGCGAGAGGTACCGGGTTCGATACTACTAGAAGTTATAACTTTTTTTACTTTTTTATTTTATAAATTGGTTGTTCCTTTGTTAAAAAGTGATATTTTTGATCGCTGATATCTTTGAAACGGTTGATCTGAAGAACTTTGACCTTCAGATGTTTTTTGTAGAGCGTGAAATTTCCTATAAATCCTCTCGCTTGGGTGTTGCGAAAACAAACCATTCCAAAGTTATAAAAATTCAAAATTAAAAAAAAAATCCTGTATTATTGAAATGGAAAAACCACAAATGAATTGAGGCAAACCTTAATATTAAGGGCTCAAATAGGCGCCAACATTTTTGTTTTTTAATGTACTATTAATTTTTCAACACCATTAGAAGAAAAAAAAGAACACTCTTATATAAATATTTATATATATATATATATATATATATATATATATATATATATATAATATTGACATTGATATTTTAACATTCAATGTCAAACATTTCTTGCTATCACCAAAGCATTTGATTGCAGTGCATCCTAGATTACATGTAACTACAGTTACATTTGCATTGTTATTGTAAACAAAAAAGAAAGAACTATTTTTTCCATGGAAATGGAAGTAATATTTTAACGTAGTTTTTAGTTCCGATCAACTTTTTTTAATAAGAATTTTCGATATTGTCAAATATAAAGGTAGTTTACTCTTGAGTAAGATTCATATTTTTTGACAAAACGCGTATACGACTGAAATTTTTTTATATCTGATGATTGTATTTTATATTTTAGAATATGCAGAACTTTTTATGAAGAATAACTTTTTTTCTTAAAATTAATACCTAATAAAAACGTTTCCCATAATATGGAAAAAATAGAGTTCTTTCTTTTTATGTTGCCAACTTAAATAGACACACTGTATATATATATATATATATATATATGTATATGATATGTATATGTACATATATAATTATATACTTTTGTTTAAAAAAAATAGAATTTACCTTCTTACTAAAAAAATAAATCTGATGTTAATTACAACTCATTTTTGAGCAAAAATTGATTAACATTAACCCCTGCAGGGGTCTATATTATAATATCAAACCCAGCAAATAAAGTATGATAATTTTCCTCAAAAATTTCTACTGGACTCGTATTTTTCCGAACATTTTGTTAAATGGGATGGAATTTGCTAATAATTCCTGAAAATATTCATCAGAAAAAACCCTAATCAGATTATTTTTCAAATTAATATTTAAAATACAAATCTAAAGTTTTTTAGAAGGAAAAATATAAATGAAAATGATATCTTGAATAATTTATTATTATCTGAATTAAGCACATATTTTACTTAAAGAATAATATCTTCAAAATCACTATCAAAGTAAAACCCTGACGCATAATAGAAAAATAGCTACAAAAAAGATTAAATTGCAATTGAAAAGAACGAAGTATAAATCATAAAGGTATTCCACCACCACCAACACCACATCAATAACTTTGACGAATAAGAAAAACGTAAAAGGCATGTGTAAGTTATCGCAAACTTATCATGGCTGTGTAACAAAATTACATTTAGTAGAGACGACCACTTTATACATTATCGTTAGTTAGGTGTATGGCACGAAATCCCACTTCCAACAAAAGTCTATATTTCAAAACTGACATTAGTAACACCCATTGCGACTGCGACTCCCTCCAATATCAGCAACTATTGGTTAAAAACTGGCCCAGTTACCGTAGTAACGGCTAGGGGTCGGACCAATAGCCGCCCGCCAAACTCTTCAAGCGTTGCCCACGAGGCCCGTCGAACGGCTGCTCAGTGTCTTACCGTGTGCTACACGCTGCAACCGGCTGCTACAGCACACCTACTATACCTACTACTCTGCTACAACACATTTATTTCCACTAGGTATTATAAACCGTATATTGTTCATGCTACGTCAGTACGTCAGTGATGCGGTGCTAAGTTCCTTATCGTGTTTCTTTGGTTGTTAAGAAAAAGGCAAAATTTCAGCCACACTGGCAACCCACATGGCTCTAGGACTAAGCTCCGGACTTTGTTCCGGAAGCTCCGGGCCGGGTTCCGGAGGACATTCGGACACATCCTCGTCCCCAGGTGTTAGTGTTCCTATTCCAGTCGCGCCGACGGCCATGCTCCCGAACCCCATGTTCGCCTTGCCTACCTTGAACTTTACCGTCAGCCAAGTGGCGGCCGTTTGTGAGACTCTGGAAGAAAGTGGTGATATCGAAAGACTAGCTAGGTTTTTGTGGTCGTTACCGGTGGCGCATCCCAACATAGGTGAACTCAACAAGAACGAAGCTGTGCTTAGAGCCAGAGCAATAGTGAGTTTTCATAGTGGTAATTTCAGAGACTTGTACACCATCCTAGAAACGCACAAGTTCACCAAGGGTTCGCACGGGAAATTGCAAGCGATGTGGCTCGAAGCGCACTACCAGGAAGCCGAAAAGCTTCGCGGACGAGCTCTAGGACCTGTAGACAAATATCGGGTGCGGAAAAAATTCCCTTTGCCGCGTACTATTTGGGATGGCGAGCAAAAAACGCATTGTTTTAAGGAAAGGACGAGGAGTTTGCTAAGGGAATGGTATCTGCAAGATCCCTATCCCAATCCGACGAAAAAACGGGAGCTCGCCCAAGCGACGGGACTCACTCCTACCCAAGTTGGAAACTGGTTTAAGAACCGACGACAACGCGACAGAGCAGCTGCAGCCAAAAATAGGTAAGTGAAATGTTAAAACTCATTTTAAATTTACCTCGATAAATTATGTATTCATAATATATGATAATATATATATCTATATAATAAAGTCATTAAGTTTTAAAGAAGAAAAAGTAAGAGAGATCTTTACTATCTTTTTTAAATTTCGCTTATAATCCATAGTCTATTTTAGATCAAAAGTAATTTCTTTTGCAAGCTTTAACGAAAATACCAATAAATCCTTTTTTCTACTCCCACCTTTATTGCGCCCATTATCGTACATTTTTCCATGACACTAAGTGACCTTTAAACACATTGACAAGTTGTGGTTTATGGCGCTTTATAAGGCTATAGCCACGGACTGAAGTAAGCAACAGGTTTTTAGTCACGGGCTGCAGTTAGTTAAAATAAAGCGCCCTTCTTGTAAAATATATTTTATATATATACCTATAGGTAATACTAAATGTGAAAATTATTTTCTTATCACAATACAAACGCCAATATTTGAAAAGATTATATAAACGACTTTTAATTTTGCCGTAGTAGTGCAGTTAACTAGATTTAACTGATAGTGTTAAACATTTTGCTTACAGTACCCATAAAACATTCTCTTCTCTTTTACTGTGAAAAACTGCTTCTATATTGATTGTTAGTATATTTTCAAGTGATACATTTTCATTTGAGATTTTAACGCCGGTAGATTCTCTAGTTAGAAATTCTAACTTGAATTCCAATAAATACAACCATACCCATAAAACATTCTCTTCTCTTTTACTGTGAAAAACTGCTTCTATATTGATTGTTAGTCTATTTTCAAGGTATACATTTTCATTTGAGATTTTAACGCCGGTAGATTCTCTAGTTAGAAATTCTAATGGGAATTCCAATAAATACAACTGTCACTTTTTGTACCTTTAACATTTCCCGTGTAAGAATTTTTAATACTTTGTGATAATATTTTGCAATTATAGTAATAAAAAAATTCTAAGGATAACATATGTTCTTAACATAATTATATTTTGAAGTTATTTTATTATTTTAAAGTATTAATAATTGTTAAGTTTAATTAAAATAATAACTGTCAATGTTAATGGTAAAAATTACTTAAAAAATGTATTGGGATGTATAGATGTGGCTTTATACAAATATTCATTTCATAAATAATTTTTTAGATAATATTAAATATTTGTCGTAGAAAAAGTATAGTATGCAACTCTTTAATAAACTTTTCTAGGCACTCATTTAATTAAGTACTCGCTCGCAAACTCGTTCGTCCCTAAATTAAATTCGTGATTAAAATGGCGTTTATCAAACTTGATACTTAATACTCCATTATTTATACAAAAAATCTAATTTCAATAATTAAAACATGGAAAAATTATTATTTATGTTTTATTTGTTAATATAAATAAAATCATAATAGAATCATTGTAACAAAACTTTGTGTTTATTACTGTTATTGGCTACTCATAAAATTAAACTATAGTTAATTTTAAATCAAGTTCTAATGAATTTAGTAAAAGACGGTTTTTGACATGTCTGAACACTGTTAAAAATTATTCTTTCTTTTTTGATTTCCTTTAATACAGGGTGCGGCGCGATAGTAGAATTTTTTTTTAATGAGTACCTATATTATCAATTTTTGAATTTGTTTTATTTATAATGTAAACAACTTATGGAACGCCATCATAGAATTTTATGTTTGAAAAACCATTTTCACAGATATTTGAAGAATTTGGAGACGAAAGTTGTCATTCATTTTTTCCAGATTTCCTCGATCTTCTGTCGTATCGCAGCCTTTAAGTCTTTCATTGTTCTAGGTCTTCGGTTGTAAAGTCACTTTGTGTCACATATGATTGTAAAGTCACATTTCGACAAGTCTTAACTAATAAAACTAACAAATAAAATTACATAAAGTTAACATTTAGGTAAATCCAGATGTGAATCATTACGGTGAAAACATCCTTCAAAACTGAAAACAAAACTCAGATATTATACAATGAATTTATTCTAATAAAAATGTGCTTTTCTTCTTAAGCAATAGTTAAGGCGTCGATACTATAGGAACACAAAATAGTTGAAAAAGAGATACGTAAGTTAGTACTTCTTCCCAAAAATTAAAAATATTCAAATACATATTTTTTATCCATAACGAAAGACCCACGAATATGAATTAATGAATGAATGCGTGTTGAATTCGAATAACGTCAAAAACATGAATGTACATGTTGAATCAAAAACGCGACCAGTAATTATCTAATTGGGTATCGGTACGGACGGTAGCGATAGAGCTATTAAGTTGGCCGCCCCGGAATCGTGTGAAAAAAGAGCGCACCAAAATGGGCAGGATCGCTATGTGATAATTACAAGTTTGGGATAATGTATGGGCCATTGAACGGGACTACCGTTTCGCTAGCACTCGAACCCCGGGCTCCGTTTACACGCTTATCAATGTATTAAATCTGGCTGTTAATACCGTTTTGTCAGTTTAATTCTTGCCGTCGTGTATTTATTTCTCTGCTTCGAGTGTTGTTTAATAAATCTTGCTTGGGTGTTTATTACGCAAACATAGATGTTATAGCTAGTCATAGGAAACTGGTAGCTCTTATAGATAATTATTGGATACTTTCTAAAGAAAAAAACATTCATCAGAAGTATTTGAATGAATTAAGTGGTTGTACAAAAAAACACAAGTTAAAACCTATGGAGATATATTCCGTTATCAGAAAAACTAAACATTTCAAAGATACAGAGCTTTGAAGTTTTTATTTTTGTATGTCATTATGATTTTTAATCAAATTTAAAATTTAAAATTAGCTTTACAATTTTTTTGGTTTAAAAATGGTAGACATTTTTAAACCAATACTAATTTTAGCTTTAGCGTATTTAGCTGGTGGCGTATTAAATTTGGTCAACTTAACTAATTTTATTACTAAGTTTATTAACAAACTTGACAATAAACTAAAAACGGTTGCTATGGACACAATTTAAATAACTATGATTAACATGGCTGACAGTCAGAATAAAAAACTTTTATCCGAAATCGGCAGTAAAGTAGTCAACAATCGGCAGTAAAGTAAAAGAAATCGGCAGTAAAGTAGAACTTTACTGCCGATTTAATTCGAATATTGTATGCAACCCATTATAAATTTTAAGATGTGTCTACTGCTCCTCAGCAGCAACTATATTATATTAAAAAAAAAGCACCGTCGCGGAGGTCGATTGGACCCTTTCATAAAATGTTGTTTAATAAAAATAATAAGTTAATTTTATTAATTAGATTAAAAAATCACCGGTGCGGGTAAACATATAATAACCGTCGCAACAAACAATATACGTAGACACTTCCTACATTCAAATGACATTTGATTTAATTATCAATATTAATTATTAGTATTATTAAATGTGATTTCGGATAAAATTTAATATGGACCTCGGCATTAAAGTCATTTTTTATCACTCACGTGGTTATTTGCCTCGGCTTTCGCCTCGGAAAATAATTTCCACATTCGTGATAAAAAATACCACTTTACTGCCTCGATACATAAATGTCCATTTTCAAGCGCACAATAATTTTCATATCATATATCATAAGTTTATATAGAAAGACTTTATATTAATAGTTTAAAGTCAAATCAAAGTCAAATTACTATTAAACTCCGTACAGAAATAAAGCTAAAATGTCATTTGAATTTAACCTAAAAATGATGTGACAGAATCTTAAAAAATAGTACCTATACAGGGTGAGTTCTAAGTTGACGCGTTTCTTTTAACAGTGTGTAGAAATCAGCTAGACAAATAAATATTTTAAGTAACTTTTTTATCAAAACTCAAAAATAAAAAAGTTATAGCCCATCAAAGTTTAATTAAATTAAATAAAGCCGGTCCTGGCTATTGTTAACGAAAAACATAACCATAAAAATATCAAAATAAACAATGCAAAATGTCATATTTGACAACAAACATAACCATTTAAATTAAATTGACATTTTGCAATAAAAAATGTCATTATTTACTTAAGTTGCAGCATTTGCATTTTGACGACACTCTCCATAAATTAGTAACATTTCCACTAATTCATTATTGCTATAATTATGAACCATTTTTAACAATAATTGAGGCACAAAAAAACTGACATTTTTCATTGTTAAGTGACATTTTGATTTAAATGGTTATGTTTGTTGTCATAGATGACATTTTGCATTGTTTCTTTTGTTATTTTTATTTTTATGATTATGTTTTTTGTTAACAATAGCCAGGACCGGCTCAAAATTTAATTAAACTTGGAAGGCCTATAACTCTCTTATTTTTTAGTTTTGATAAAAAAGTTACTTAAAATATTTATTTGCTTATCTGATGTCTACACGCTGTTAAAAGGAACGCGTCAACTTAAAACTTACCCTGTATAAAACACGGCAGCGAAAGCTTATTAATTAATTGTTAACAATATTATAATATGTGCTTTCTCCGCCTGGTCTATAATGTACCAAGTAAGTATAAATCATAATTATGTTTGAAACATTTTTAAAAAATTGTTTTCTTTATATTATATTATATTATCTATAATATAATAATTATTATATTTATATTTATTAGAAATGTCATTAAAATAATAATAAGATAAAATTTAACAAACCAAATATGTAACTTAAAAGTTACTCATCATTATATTAAAAAAATCATTTATTATTGCGGCAGTTTAAAATAAAATATAAAATAAAAAATGAAATAATCCACATCAAATGGGAGAGATGAGCTTGGTATGGTTGACATATTATGTATTTTCAATATTAGAAATTTGTATTCTTTGGAATGACGCCATTTTAAGTAAATTTTGAAAACATTAAATTTAAATAACTGTAATTTTTTGTCACACACTTTAATTAAATAAAAATTGTTGGGTTAAATAATTCCATCGTGACAGGAACTAGCGCTTTCTAAATAGAAAAACGCATCCGGATTAGATAATTGAATTATAATAAGCTTCGAAAAATTAAATCGATATCATTAAAACTGTATGG